AACAATCATTCAATGTGATTGGCCAGTATTCTCAGGATATTGTTGTATTTGAGTTTCATATGCAAATTATTATTGATTCCATTGAAATAAAGCATCCAATCATTGAGTAAAATAAAAATCAGGTCACAAAATTTTAGCACGCCCATCTAGCAAACTGTCACGCTGTTTGTAAAACAATAATAAAAAAAAACGAACCGTTTGTTTACAGTGTATCATAAATGGACATGGAAATAAATGCAAAGAAATTGGTAACACAGTGAGGTTGTGAATATATCTTTAGAAAGTTGTGCAAACGTGTTATTAAAAAAATTGTCGATGAATGGCCATGTTTATTTGTTTAGACATATAAAATGGTAAAATTTTGATTTTTAAATATTTTAAAGTGTTCTTTGATGATATTCTACATACAGTATTTTTAAAAAATTATTGATACCTTGTATGCGCGTATGTACATATGGGATGAAAACAAAACTTTTTTTCAATGTTTTAAAATGCTGGCAAATATATGAAAACTTATAGGTAATTGTGTACATTCATTCTCTTATCCTTGACGTAAATTTAAATAGATCATCTGAAGTATGATAAGCAATAATATAGCTCAAACTATATCAAAATAAAGTTTCTAACATATAAAGGAAAAATGCCTATGAGCACCTGTAGTACATAATGTATAAGATAGTACAACCAAGCGCGGATCCAGATTTTTTTTTCCAAAGGGGGGGGGGGGGGGGGGGGGGGGGGTTGCACCCAAGTCAAAAAAAATTTCCATTCCATAAATTTCTTGAGAAGCCCCCCCCCCCAAAAAAAAAAAAAAAGAAAGAAAAGAACCTATTTCGTGGGGTGGGGTAGGGTGTAGTGGATGACTTTCAGTGATTCTAATGACTTTTCACACCAATACCACATAGATCCGTGTTTTCAAGGAAGGGTTTTGTTTGGGGAGGGGTGTCCAAGGTCACTCTTACTTGGTTTATTATATACAAACAATAACTCTGCAAATTCCGGGGGGGGGGGGTCTGGAGGATACCCTGTAGATCCGTGCATGTACCACAGAATAAAGTTGATTTATAACATGTAAGAAGAAGAGGCCTTTAATGAAAATGATATTTGCAGAAGTAAAGAAAAACAACAAAATATAAGGGTGTGTATTTCTGATAATTATTTATTTTCCTCCTTAACTAATTGTGGAACTTTGAAGTATTTCTCATGCTGTAGACATATTCCTTTGTAATAAATCGCAGATAGTTTTTTGGAAAATAGTTCTAGCTGTTAGCAGTAAAAAAAAAAATAAATTTTTCCCCCGCGCTTGCGCGGGATTTCAGCTAGTTTTTTAAATGTGAGCATAGAAATGAAAGATAATACATCATTTTTAATATTTCTTTCACAAATGGTTTTTAAGTAATATTTAGAAAAATAAGAAAAAGCACTGTCTACTTTATAGCTGTTTCATCATCTAACTTTTCCTTTTCTTGGCCTTTTTTTAAGTTGGACAGCTATTTAGCCAATTTATGTATGTTATGTAATAGTCACATACTGGGAGGCCAATTGTTATCGCAAAATTGTTTAACATTTTTTCTTAGGAATTGTTTTTTTATGTTTCATTGTTCATAATGTTGTTTTCCAGTCTTTAAATTCAGTTTTATGTATCCTATTATGTGTTGTCATTTCATAATAAATGACATTATTTTCGGAACAAACATGTCTTGTGTTATTTGGAAAAAAACAAGCTCAATGTTGTCAGAGTGTTTAATTCAAGGAAAAAAAGATGAACTTAAAAGCATTTTCCCCATAACTTTGATTTTTTTTTTTTTTGGATCGAAATAAATATAACGTGTAGATTTTGGTTGGAACTTTTTAAAAAGAAATTTTTGACATGATAACATTCTAGGGAATTATCTCTCCAAATTTTATAATAGGTAAACAGTGTTTTATATGTGTACGCGTACTCTCGATAAATTGAATCAGCTTTATTTTTAGACCGTGCTGTATTTTAGATACAGATTAGTTGGCTAATACAACGGTATACAAGGCTAATACAGAACGGAAAGTAGCTCCGCCCACTGTAGTCCCGTTCAGAACAGCAAACTTCAAAGAAATACACCACTTTAGTGTTCCAAAACATAATTATGGTACCGGAAAATGAGCTTCTCGATAATTTATTTTCAGACAGGGAAAGACCTTTTAACTAAGCTTAAAACTGAATAATTTATTGACAGCAAATTAACAAAATTTGTTAAATTCATTTAATTATTTCTTGAAGATTTAACCACCATCGTATTGAAGAACTACGAACGATAGTATTGTTCTCCCGCCTACCTCGAAGTCAATTCTCAAAAGTTAACACATTTGAATGATTTTCAAAATTTTTATAGATATTTATATGAATTTTCATAAAACGATAATTATTTGGGATGTACCAAAGAGGGATAACTATATAATGTTGGCGAAACTTGTTTTTTTTTTCACTATATAAATCAACGGAAAACGGAAAATATTTTTAAAACATCTTCCCCCCCCCCCCCCCCCCGTGAAACCAAAATTCCTTTTTACAGATAATGTGAACTGTCATTTTACAAATTTATGACAAAGCTTTTGTGTTTCACGCTGGGGGGGGGGGGACATACGTTTATAGAAAAAAAACACAAAAAAGCTGATTTTTTCACCCATTTTAAAGCTATTTACAACTAAATAATTGTATTTTATTAATTTATATATGTTTTATTTTTGTGCTTAAAAATAAGACAAGATATAAGATATATTTTATATATTTAAGACTATTTCAAAATATGTTGATACTTGAAAGTTCGATTTCACTAGAAAATATCGTCTACCCCCCTTTTTTCAAGAGCTGGAATTAATGATAATTTACTATCTAGCGCAGGAATTGATATCATATGATCAATCAATTACCATAGAACTGTTCTTTGTATTAAACAAAGATTTAATTGCTAAATTGCCATTAATATTGAATTTAATGGGTAAAAATGGGGGGAATAAAGTTGAGTTCGTAGTTCTTTAACCTTTCATTTGTTTTGGTTTATAAACTGAGAAATGCAAGAGTTGCTGTTATTAATTTGGTTTAACTCCCTTTGTTTTGAGAAGTCCGGTAGGTGGCGACACCTCTATCCTCTGTTTTAATTAAGAGGATAAAATTTTATCCTCCAAAAACAGAGACCACGTAGACCTATATATAAAGGAGAAAAGAATAATAACATATATATTTTTATGTTCCCCAGTGTAATTTAACTAATTTTACAAGTTAGTGAGGCTAGTTTTTTTGCACACACCTATAACCTTATGTAGACCATATCAAATCCATATAAAAGTACCAAAAACACAAATTCTTATGGATGAATTTATCATTTATTATACATGTATAAATACGAAAGATAATCAAAAGAAAAAGGGGGAATACTCTGAAAAACTGTGTAAATTTGTATAAAACATTAGTAGATCTCCACAGGGTAGCATTTAATAAAAAAATCAAAATAAATAATCCAGAATCAAAAAAAAAAATAACAATCAGCAAAAAAAGGTGGCAGACAAAAACTGCCTCAGCAGATAAAACAAAGGCCAATGGGTCAAATCCCTCACCTGAGCAGATCGGCTTGGAAAAAGCCATCAGATCAGAACTGAAACTAATCATGGCTTTAAAGTACTCGAGAAGATGATTTTAATAAAATATTTCCATATTTATTCCTTAGTAAAACTTTGATCAGCAATTCATATAAATATAACTCATCATGGCTTTGAAGTACTTGAAAAAAAAATTTTAAAAGTTTTCTCTATATATTCCTTTGTAAAACTTTGATGGCCATTTTGGCCCCTCCCTACCCCAGGGCATCATGATTTGAACAAACTTGAATTAACGCTACCTTAGGATATTTCACATAATTATGTTTCATCTTTCCTGGCCCAGTGGTTGTTGAAAAAAAGTTTTTTTAAAAATTGCATAGTTTTTTTTCTATTTCATAATTTTCCCCTTTGGGAAAAAGGGGGTGGCCCTTCTTTTGAACAAACTTGAATCCCCTTTACCCCAAAGGGTACTTTGTAGCAAGCTTGGTTGAAATTGGCCCTGTGGGTTTTGAGAAGAAGATGGAAATGTAAAAAGTTTACGACAACGCCGACGACGAAAAAACAACAACGACAGACAACGGACAAATCTTGATCAGGAAAGCTCACTTGAGCCTTGGCTTAAGCTTAGTTGTTAAATTACTATTAGCGTTTTTTTTTCAAGTAAAAAATCCGAAAATGAAAACAGATGTATCAGACTCTGCATCTGTGCTATGATGATCCATTTGTAAAAATTTTTCTTCTGTTCTTGTGCTGTAATGATAATTTTTTTAAAGAAAATTAAATAAATGTAATGCAAAAAAAAAAACTCATTAGTCAGATATCTTTTACAAAAGTAACAAACACAAATAGGTCTGATATTTGAAGCTCGATTCCCCTAATCCATGCCCATATCTTAAAAATATTTGCAATATTTATTTTCTAAATTGTTATCATTAAGGCCATAATAAAAATATTCCTAGATTCTCATCCCCGCCCGCCTCGATTTTATACCCCCGCCTCGTTTTTTTTTTTATTTCTGTTTTTCTTTGTCTTAATTCTGATCAGGATCGGTATTCATCTACATGTACTATTCTATTTTCGTTTTAAATCCCGCGAAAGTCGACATGATATTGACAGCTTAAAAGATGGTACATGTAATTGCTGTAATACATGCGTATATATTTTAAACAAGGGTAATTGGTTGGAAAAGATCGGTGATGATGTGAAGTAAGAGATAATTGAACCTTTACTATGACTTTTTTTCGGGTATTGTAGATAAAATTACACCGATTGACCAGGTCAATAAAAAATCTGCAAAATTGAAAAAAAAAACCATAAAATAAAAGCCGCCCGCCCGTCTCGATTTTTAAAAAAAATTCGGATGAGAATCTAGCAATTTATTTATTATGACCTAAGTTAGTGACTTCATTTAAGAATGGGTTTCAAAATATAAAGTAAGGTTTTATTTTACATGATGTTACAGCTTTCTTCAAAGTTGGGTTTAAAACATTCGCATCTTATATATTTTCCATTTCTTTCTTCTCCACCTGAAATAGAAAGATTTCAATCGAAATAAAATCAAAGGAAATGTTATATTTCTACTCTTGAATGCATGGTGCATGCTGAACTCGTTTGGCATATTCATCGAAATACTATCGTATATTATTTAATACTAAGCACTGTGAGTACTGAAAGACGGTGGCATGAATGGTTTTATTTGTTTAACGTCCATTTTGAGTATAAATTTTGAGTAGCGAGGGATGTTTTGTTTGCTAGCAATTACTGCGACACTGGATATCAATCTGAATCATGTCCCGCAGTGGGAGTCGAATCAGCGATGTACATATTTCATAAAAAAATAAAGCAAACTTCAAAAAGATCTATGCATATTAAACAAATTATAAGATTTGATATAATGCATTTTGTTGCCTTATCGCACAAAGAAAATAATGTCAAAGTGTTTAGAGCAGCGTCACGATTCCTTTTTGTTTAAAACAAGTTAGATAACTCCCACTTAAATTAAGAATTGCACATAGTTGAGTTTCCCTTAATTCTTTAAATAACAGCCTGAAACGAGTCTCGCACACAAATGGAACCTTGTGAAGATTTTTTTGTATTAAAGTTATGGACAATATTTTACTATCATTCAGCTAAATAGGTTATCTAATTAATTAGCTGTCAACATTGACAGCGTCTTTCACTTTTCCTATAGCTGTTTGATATGCCCATGGATTTAATAAAAAACCGATTTCGCTAAGGAAACTATCATTTCCCTTTGTACACTAAGATGAAAATTTGATCTGCTCGCCAGTGCGTAGAAACGTCATCGAAAGTCGCCATTTTTCAGTTGTTGTGTTTACACTTTCCTATTTCAGATGCTCGGTAAACTGCCAAAAATTAAGCAAATACCCTGAAATTTTCCAATAGACGACACAATAGATAGTGAATAAAAATGCGATAATGTTTATCAAAACCTATTTGATACCTTTATTTCGAAATGATACTCGACGTGTATAATTAATAAAGAGGGGAGGGGGGGGGTTATCATGCCTTTGTACATTAAAGCATGTTAAAAAAATATTAATTTTTGTCTATATTTTACAAGAAGAATTCAGAAACACTAAAATATAAAACATAAATACTTGTTAATAATTTCATCTTACGGCTCCCATTATTTTTCGAGAAAAAAGAGAAAAGAAAAAAACAAAATAACAAAATATTTTTCTGCCTCTATTTTTCTTCTTTCTTAAAATACATGTATTCGTTTTTCCTATATAGTAATTTAAACAGATATTACTGAGAAATTACTTCCAACAAAAGACTCACTTAAATAACAATAAACTAGTTATAGTTACACTATAGATATTAGTTGGTTAATGGTAAATACACTCACAGTTTTTAATTCACGAGGGGCGGAGCCCCGAGTGAATTAAAAGCTGTGAGTGTATTTACCATTTACCAATTAATATCTATTGTGTAAATTACTTGTACCAGAGGACCAATGAGAGAAAAGCTGGTTGACAGTTAGCACTGTCTACTTCATCCGGTCCGGAGTCTGTATGAATACCTTTCTCCATCTGAAAGGATCGTATTTGAATGCTGCGTCCGGGGTATTGACGATAAAAAAAATCGGAATGACTTATCATTATTGGGTATGTGTAAAGATTTTGCACCGATTTAAACTTTTAATGTAACAGATGTTTAATGTGAAATTACTATTTGGAGACAAGAATAAGAATTAAGGCAATTCGAGATAGAAGGTATAAAGTTAACAGCATACACTTAGTAAAATGCGGAGCGAATGCCGACAAATTAATTTCAGTATTCTTGAAGTTTAAAATGTTGACTAAACTCAATTATCAGTTATTGCCAAGGTTTTGAAATAAGCATCATTTCTTCATCTGTCACGGTCTTGTTACATGTATTATGGCTTGATACCAAATCGTGGGCGTGACTTAAAAACTGTGGTTCTTCTGGCAAATACACAACAGCAACATCAAAGTAATATCTGAATTTACCGCCAGTCCTATGGTACAACTTAAATTGTACTGATTTAAAATTACACAAAATAGTATTTAAGAAACAACCGCGCTTGTGTTGTTTAGTATTTATAATTATTTGATTTCGGAGTTAGAAAGTGAAACAATAATTATTACCTACAAATATTTTTCATTAAATATTCTGACAATAAATAATTCTAAACTAACACAATGTGTACGAAATTACTTTTCGCACATGAGAGAAAAAAACGGAAAAAATCATGTACCAATTCACTTCTGTAGTTTGCATACGAATATATAAGAGTTGGTTGGTGCACGAATTACATGTATTTGTTCATCAATTCAGCCTAATTCAATGAATATTCATGAGGCGAGAAATATTGATGACGGCAAATGTCAGGAATAAGGCTTTGTGTCAATCAACGAAATGTCTCCGAAATAACTTTAAAGTATTTGATAACTATGTACATTTCATCTTGAATCATCGAAACAAGTCTACTTTCATTATTTCGACTCTGCAAAAATCTCCGCTAGGATCCCCGTGTGTTTACATGTTGCTTATTCATAAGCCACGACCAGCAGCAATAGCCTGTGGCAATATATAGCCACCGTCTAAAAAGGACTAAAACTATCAGGTTTTGTATTCAAATTGATGGATATCGTCAGATTAAAAGAAATGAAGATTGCTTGGATAAATGATGTTTGAATATTTTAAAGAATTATGGGCCTTCAAACATATGGCAGTCAATTCGTTAATCCAAATTGGTTGAGATCGAAGGTAAATCTTATATTGATCAATTTTAAAAAAAGTGAAATTTTGAACGTTCAAAATTCGTCAAAAGCTCTTTATTACAGAAAAAACAAAGACAAACGAAAATCCCAAATATACCTAGATATTTCAACGTATCTGTGGCGGAGTACTTTTTTATGCGAAAAAATGATTAAAAGGGATATCTATTGATCATATCAAATGTATTTTATAGTTATCATTCATCATTATCATCATAATGATTGCACTTTTACATATTCTCATAGAAAAAGACACGCTTTAAACAATTTTCAATTGAATTAGGACTATAATTGCAAAAGTATTTCCAGTATTATCATCATACATGTAAATTCATCTTAAATCATCAAGTTACCAAAATGGTTAAACCAAGATACACCAAGACCAGTTTTCATATTCTTTTTATCACACCGTCAAACTTTTTTGCATATCATGTACCCACGCGTTCCCATGTTCAATAATGTGTACAGGAGTATTCACTATTCCTGCAGACGGTCAATATTTCTTCAGAATGCTGGCGGTTGCTTATTTCTACTAGATGTCATAACATAAAAATCTAACATCGATATAATTACTTCGACCACATTCAGTAAGTTTTATCTATTGCTGTTTTTTCGTTTCTATCCTGAAAAGATGCCAATAATTGCTGTCAAATTATTATTTTTTGATAGATTGAAAGTGGATGTTGGCTAAATAAAGGTTAAAAATGTTTTTTGAATAAAATAAACGATGAAAAAAAATTACACATTTAATTGTAGCCGCAATAAAGGAAAGAAAAAAAAAACATTGCAAAGCATTTGTGTTTTCAAATATAGTTAATAACTAAAACGTCATCCCTAAATTAGTAAATATCTACACATTTAACTGTACTATAAGTTTTTCTTCGTACGCATGAATTGTTTTCCCGTTATTTCCGATCACGACAAGGGACACACGGAGGGTTTGACCGGTCAGCACAGGATGCTCACTGCTTCATGGTACCTGATCCCACCTCTATTGTTTCGGAGGCCCGCTGTTTGCTCTGCTCCTGTTTTGTATTGTTATTGTTTTATGAACTTTGAGATTGAATACTGTTATCTCCATATCCTTCTTTTATTATTTTATTTGTCACCGGTTTTTTTCCAAGCAGATATCTATTGTAAAATTGTGGAGAGACTGATGAATTTGGTTCAGCATGAAAACCATACTAACTTTTTTTTTTTTATAGAAATTAACTATATAGCTTTTTGATTCTTTTTGTAATATATGCTTCCAGTTTGTAAGTACATCAATTGTACTTTCAACATAAATTTAATCGAATGTTTCTTGATTCCAAATTTCTCAACATATGAATTAAGGTAAAACATGAGTAAACTTTCTACTAGTCAGTACCGGGGTATCTATGTATTCCTGTCACAAATACCCCAGTAAACAGAATCTTCAGTGTGGCAGGAAAATCTTCAAATCTAATAGATGTAGGTTAAGAGACACATTAATTGAAAATTGTATGAACATTTTAATAATATTATTGTAAAAAAATGTAAAATAACATGATATAAAAATAAAGGACTGTACATGACTCATTCCGTTATAATTTATACATGTTTACTTGAATGTAATGTGTAATTTAATTAATTGCATTTGCAAAGTAATTATATTTTAATTAATTACATTTCCAAATCCATGTAATGGTAATGGTAATATAATTGAAGGTTTTGGGAAAGTAATTGTAATTTAATTAATTACTTTCCTATGTAATTGCCCCCATCCCTGTATGCATGGTAAGGTGAAAAAAGGCAAATTAATCAGGATTATAATATTGCTAGGAGCGCCACTTGTTATATAAAACTTATGTCAAAAACTTTTAACATTTGATTGCCTATATAACAGACTGACTTGTCTTTCGTTTTATTTATCAGATTTTTGTTGTTTCATCTTTTGACTTCTTTTATCAATCGCTTGCAATGATACCACACCTTGCAATTGTCAATTGCTGAAAAGCACATATTCGTTCAATATACCTAGAAAAGTTTTAAAACGCTTAGTATTGCAGTCTTTTGATGGTTTTAAGCTCCACTGGGGGTTCAGAGGAACAAAGAAAATAGTGTTTTTAAAACACAGTTATAGCAGAACTTAAACACAACTTACTTTGATTCAAAGTGTATTGTTATATATCTCACATAGTTGTAGATATACTCACTTTATATATCCAATTACAACCGCTGCAAGTATTCCAAAGAAAACAATTGACGTTGTAAGAACAATTATCCAACCATTTTGCTGTTTTTCATTATGATTCCTGTAAATTAATAATAGTTTTCCCTAAATTATATGTAGCAGCAGTAAGACTAACCCGTAAAAATATTTTATTACTGAATCAATACATTTTTAAATCAAAAAATATAATGAAATATATTTAATTGGTTTGCCTATTAACAGTTTTATTCTAGTATGCTGACCTTAATTTAACTCACAGGTTTGAATATGATAAGTTTATATAATTCTTTTTTGCCAGTGTAAGTGAATATGTTTTGCCAGTGTAAGTGAAAATGCTGTAATAAAGAACATAAAAATGGAAATTTGCATAATAAATTTGTTTGCAGACCTCGATATGATTTTATAATTTTCCACACTTGAGTGTATTTTTTTTATTTAAATCAATTTTATGTGTTCAAGATCATTTAGATGCAATGACCTAAAACATATGAATTGGGATGAACACCAAAGTTTTATTTCAGACTTTAAAATAACATGCAAAATGCAGTTATATCGACAATTATGTACATGCATTTATTGATAATGGTAGAGCTTTACGATTTAAGATCAACCTACTTATCCTTTGTGCTTTTTGTAGTGATGGCAGGCATTAAAGTCGTATCAGAGAGCTTAGAAGAATTGAAGCTGTTTTTCTTCTCTGCTTTATAGCAGGATTGATCTAGAAGACAAAAAATCTTCATATTCATTGAAACTGAAAGCAAGAATGCTATCTTTTCATATTGTCAACACATGGCCATTGCTTGATATTCTATTTTTTTAAAGTAGGAATCCTTTAGTCCAGGTATGAGATTGTTATTTTATTCTTCCTATCTCATATGATATTCTCAATGTATCAACAAAAAGATTAAGAATGATATTTTACATTTGTATGCCTCTGTTGACTTGTATCTTGTTGTACAAGGAGGATTCAAAACCAAACAATTCCGATAATAATTATTCTGAATCCTCTGGCCTTTAACATTGTACTCCATGCAGTAACCTAAAATAAAAAAAATATTTCAGTTGCGATAAAACATGAATATTTTTAAATATATCAACAACTTTCGGTAGACACAGCGTTGGTAAACTGACATGTAATACAACATATCTTATTTTTAAGGCAATTCAGATTTATAATCGCCATACGTTTATACGCATTCGAAATTAATAAAAGTCATTCAGTCATTAATATATCATGGGAAAGAAAAAAATGAAATACGATTCGATGGACATAGTAAATTACCCAGCATGTATTTCATTATGCTACATAATTCCCATGATTCATTTAAAGACATTCAAAGCGCAATGGTATTTATGCTGGCTTTGTTGTGAACAATTTTGCATTATATATTTGCAGTTCATTCTAGCAGCAGCGTCTTTCCATTCTACTTCGCTCTTTGGACATTCATCAACAAGCCTGGCAGTCTGCTGTATGCCTGGACAGTTAATGACACACAAAACCTACAAAATGTTACAGAAAGATATATAAATAAACTAAAAACAATACATAGTTCAGTTACTAGAGTTGATGGAATGATTACACTACTTAATAATTTGATATTAGATTAGCTATTTTATGGGATATATACATATGCATTTTTAAATTCGAATAATAATTATTTATTTTTACAATTTTAAACAAAGCACTGAGTAAGTACAAATTACCTGCATATCATAAAAAAGAACTATCAGACAACAAAATGTTTTTATTAACAGCATGATGTGGGACAGGTAAAAACCTCGAAGTGCAACCCTTTATATCATTCCCATAAAAAGTTCTCTTTAAAGAGTTGTCACAAAAAGTACTTCGTCCAAAAGCTTGATAATCCTACAATGGAGTAAAATTTTAAAAATAAAAGTAAAGTAGGCGATCCATTTCGAAGTTTAGTTTTATTAAAACAACAGAAATGTAAATTTGTAAATTCTTATGAGGCGAACTAAAAAAAAAGTCCGAAATCGACACTGGTTAATTCAACAAAAGTGTAATTTATGTTAATAAAATAACGGATAATTCCCCATGTACATGATTTAGTTGCCATTAATGTGCGGCGTTGAATGGCAAGGTGAAGATAATGATCCTAACTGAATGGTAAAACTAAAATCCGAACGTATGCTTTTCAAATGCTTCTTTCTATTCACTTCTTCTTTCGTGATACGTCACTCTCGGTTTTGCAGGATTTCCGTGTATACTTAACAGTTTCTTAGATCTTTATTATTTTTAACACTAAAAATATCACACTTACTTTTTCAGAATATTATAACATACATAAAAATACAATTTTAAGCACACGTCATGTGGACCCCCATCCTTTCAGACACACATACATACAAAAGTAATATTGAAAGAGTCCTAATTAGACTATGATTTCTTTTTCCTTATTAATGTTAGCAAGCCTATTAAACTCAAATGTTTCCCTCAATGCTATTTTTGTTCACGATAAATGAAGAGTGCAGGGAAATGAGTTGCATGCAAAATATTTATACAGTAACTGTTAAAGAAAGGCATAGGACATCATTAACACAAGTAGATTTGAAAAGAGATATGTAACAAAACGTAACCAATTTAATTTCAAATGGTAAATAATCATATATATTATATAAAGTTCGTTAATATGGTGCGGAGCTAGATGGATACATGATATTTAACAAAATTATGCAGGATGGAAGCTATATTGATTACAAGTCTGTCTTGAAAAATTCAAATTAAAATGATTTATACTTTTTAAAATAAAGAATAATATACAAAAGGGAAGTACGGTAGTCGCCGCATCTAAATAACGTCATATGACGATTACACGGCGTCATACTCTTAAGCGCTTTCCCTTTGTTAAAAAAAATATTTGATATTCACGAACACATTCACAAACGTCACTTTTTAAAAGAATTATTGGGACCCATTGCGCAACCACTATATATATAATTAAGTCCTCTGTCAAAATACTTAGAACGGCCACCACAAGACAAACTTTTGTTTCATATCGCTCTGAGACACCTTTCTTTCATTTGACAACATAGGACATCATTTCAACGTTTCCGCCCGACCTCCCCCTTTCAGTCTCCCTATCCTCTGCTGATCATTCAATGACCCATGGTTTGTTAAAAATCGCTAAAACCATTTATAAGCAAGTTTCTTATAATTACATGCATTTACATGATTTCCTCTGTGTGTCTAGCTAGTTAATAATCGTAACTGTCTCTACTGACGAAAACGCATTACAGCTCGTTTTAGATTTTTTTTTTACATTTTGAAATTACCGGTACCTTTGTTCAATACATTATGATTAGATTAAAACAAAAAAATGTTTATAGTTAAAAGCAATTACGTTATTCTATTTCAAACTAAAGGCTAGGGAATGTCGTAAAATTTTGTCTTTTTAACTATTGGGCAATTAGACATTTTACATGCTTTTTAATGTGTTTTTCTTCTTTAATTCTAATAATATACAAAAAACGAGACCTTTAATAGTGACGCAGCGACACACCTTAACTTGAATGTTTTAAATGTTCATAAAATTAATTCAATTGACCATTATTATACCCGCACTTTCTAAAGAAATTCGGGTATTATTTTATTCATGTCCGTCCGTCCGTCCGTCCGTCCGTCTGTCACACTTTTTCCCTGAACTCCTCCTACATTTTACACAGTAGCTTAATCATGTTTTGGGAGATGGTTGGTGGTGTCAGGTAGATGTGCAGTAAGGTTTCCGAATTTTGATTTTGCCCCGGGGGGGTCAAATGGGGGTCGAGAAATGACGTTTTTTATGCAAAAATCCCGTCTTCCCTGAACTCCTTATACATATTACTCAGCTCACAACTCACGTAAAAGGGGAGTATTGGTGTTGTCATGTAGATGTTCAGTAAGGTTTTGGAATTTTGATTTTGCCCCGGGGGGTCAAATGGGGGTCGAAAAATGACGTTTTTTATGCAAAAAGCCCCGTCTTCCCTCAACTCCTTCTACATTTAACACAGTAGCCTAACCATCTTTTGGGAGATGGTTGGTGGGGTCATGTAGATGTGCAGTAAGGTTTCCGAATTTTGATTTTGCCCCGGGGGGTCAAATGGGGGTAAAAATGACGTTTTTTATGCAAAAAGCCGCGACTTCTCTGAACTTCTCTTACATTTTACTCAGCAGCCTTATCATCTTTTGGGGGATGATTGGTGTTGTCACGTAGATGTGCAGTAAGGTTTCGGAATTTTGATTTTCCCCGGGGGTAAAATTGGGATAAAAATAACGCTTTTTTATACAAAAGGCCCTGTTTTCCCTGAACTCCTCTTACATTTTACTCAGTAGCCTATTCATCTTTTGGGAGATGGTTGGTGGGGTCATGTAGATGTGCAGTAAGGTTTCGGAATTTTGATTTTGCCCGGGGGTCAAATGGGGGTCAAAAAATGCCCTTTTTTTTATGCAAAAAGCCCCGTCTTCCCTGAACTCCTTCTACATTTTACACAGAAGCCTAATCAGCTTTTGGGAGATGGTTGGTGGTGTCAGTTAGATGTGCAGTAAGGTTTCCGAATTTTGATTTTGCCCCGGGGGGTCAAATGGGGGTCGGAAAATACGTTTTTTGTGCAAAAAGTCCCGTCTTCCCTGAACTCCTTCTACATTTTACTCAGCAGCCTAATCACCTTTTGGGGGATGATTGGTGGTGTCATGTAGATGTGCAGTAAGGTTTCGGAATTTTGATTTTGCCCCGGGGGGTCAAATGGGGGTCGAAAAATGATGTTTTTTATGCAAAAAGCCCCGTCTTCCCTCAACTCCTTCTACATTTAACACAGTAGCCTAATCATCTTTTGGGAGATGGTTGGTGGGGTCATGTAGATGTGCAGTAAGGTTTCCGAATTTTGATTTTGCCCCGGGGGGTCAAATGGGGGTCAAAAATGACGTTTTTATCCAAAAAGCCCCGACTTCTCTGAACTTCTCTTACATTTTACTCAGCAGCCTTATCATCTTTTGGGGGATGATTGGTGTTGTCACGTAGATGTGCAGTAAGGTTTCTGAATTAAGATTTTGCCGTGGGGGGTCAAATTGGGATAAAAATAACGTTTTTTATACAAAAAGCCCCGTTTTCCCTGAACTCCTCTTACATTTTACTCAGCAGCCTATTCATCTTTTGGGAGATGATTGGTGGGGTCATGAAGATGTGCAGTAAGGTTTCGGAATTTTGATTTTGCCCAGGGGGTCAAATGGGGGTCAAAAAATGACGTTTTTTTTGCAAAAAGCCCCGTCTTCCCTGAACTTCTCCTACATTTTACATAGTAGCCTAATCATCTGTTGGGATATGGTTGGTGGTGTCAGGTAGATGTGCAGTAAGGTTTTTGAATTAAGATTTTGCCGTTGGGGGTCAAATGTGGGTCAAAAATGATGTTTTTTGTGCAAAAAGCCCTGTTTTCCCTGAAGTCTTCTTTAATGTTACTCAGAAGCCTAATCATCTTTTAGGAGAGTTAAATATTTTGAAAATTATGTAAAACATCAACGTCAAGGGGTAAAAAAGCATCACATGATGGGAAACACCTTGAATTCTTATGAGTAATTAATGTACATGTCAAATGTGAGAGTCATATCTCATCTCAATCAAAAGTTATAAGCAAATGCAACATTTTTGAAAAGTAGAGGCTTGACCGCTTCAAGGTCAAGGTCACAGAGTAAAAGTCATGATTTATTTGGAAAGGTCTTATCACAGGTAAAAATATACATGCATTATGATATGAATGCCCTAACTTTTCTCTTTCAAAATGATGAATTTATAACAATTTAATTTTTTTGCAAGTAGGTCAAACTTCTAGGTCACAGGTAAAAAAAAAACCCATGCCATTCTCACAGGTAAATACTAATACATAAGTTTGATATTCAGTAGATATGACCGTGATGACCAAGGTTAAATTTATTGAGACAGATGGACAGTCTGACATACAAATGTACACATTTCTATATGAATTGGGTAAAATTGGCCCCGTGGTTCTAGAGAAGTTAAAATGTAAAAATTTTTCAGACAAACAGATGGACGACACGTCACGACAGACGTTATATGTTAAGGAAACCAGAAAAGCTCAAATGAGTGTTTGAAAGGGTTAGAATATGGTTGCAGTATTTGAAAAGCTGTTTTTTTATGCAGAGATATGCATGACCAACATATTCATGTTTTATATTTTCTTTAGTAATTTGTTTGTTTGTTGTGAATACATCTCTCTTGGGAATTTTTCCCTCATATGGAGACACCACCAAATAATAATGAAGACAAGATGTGTTTGTGAAACACTGATGTCCCTGTATGGAAGCCTGTGGCG